ACTCTCCCCATTGCCCTCTCATCGCAATAAAAAAAAAATCCCTCTTCCTCACTTGTAGCTTTCTAGCTCTGTGGAATTTTGTGTGACTCATCACATAGTGGAATTGATGAAGTCAACAGCTGCTGGAAAGTCAACTTTTTCCTTAGTAACTGTATCAACATGTGTTTGCTATTATTCAATTAAGAAAAATACATATATCAAATACCCATGGTAGTTTTTGCTAAAATTTTCAATGGTGAAACTCATATTTTGACATATCAAAATGTATAAATGGGTACAGTAGAGAAAGTTTTGATGGGGGAACAAAATCATGGCGAAATAAAGTAAAGTGGAAGAGAAGAACAAATGACACATGTTGTTGGTAATGCTATAATTTATATCAGAATGTGTTCAGTGACTTTCTTCTTGACACTATTTTTTTAAAAGATTTTATTTATTTATTTTTGAGAAAGAGAGAAAGAGAGAGAGAGCACAAGCAGGGGAGAGGGGCAGAGAGAGAAGCAGACTCCCTACTGAGCAGGACCCTGATGCGGGACTCAATCCCAGGACCCTGGGATCATGACCTGAGCTGAAGGCAGACACTTAACTGACTGAGCCACCCAGGCACACCTTTCATGACACTATTAATGGTAAAGCAGAAACTTGGCACCTCATGCCCTCTGTAGTCTCCAGGAGGTCTGACTGTCCATTCATCCATTTATGCATCTAACAAATAATTGAGTGTCTATTATGGTGAAATCTCTGCTTCATGGAGTTTACATCCTAAGAGGGATAAAGAATAAAAAATTGTAAAAAGAAAAATAAAATGATTACTCAATGTGATGTGGGCTGTGAAGGGAAAAGGCAAGAGGTTAAGATGGAGATTAATAGGGAGAACTTGCTTCAGGTAGGGAAGAGATGGAAGACATCTCTCTTAGGAGTCACTGAGACTGAGATCCAAAGGATAAGAAGGAGGCAGCAAAGTAGAGAGGAGGGTGTAAGAGCATTTGGTCAGAGGGAAGAGCTGTGCAAAGTCCTGTGATCTGATAGGGCTTAACATGTTCTTGGAACTGAATGACCAGTGTGTCGGGAGCACAGATAGTGAGGAGGTGGTGGTATTAGATAAGGTGAGAGAGAGAGGTAGGGTTGGGTCATGTAAGACTTTGTAGGCCTTGATAAAGGGACTAGATTTTATACTGAATACAGTGAGAAGTCACTGGAGGTTTTGGCTGTGTGTGCATGTATATGTATGTGTGTGTATGTGTATGTGTATGTGTTGCCACATAGCAAAATGGCCAAATGAGTTAGATGGGGAACAAGAGTGGAAACAGAAAGACTAGCTAGGGTATACCAGGATTTAAATGATGATTGCTCACACTGAGGTAGTGACAGTGGAGATAAGGCAAGAGTTCAAAAGAAAGATACATAGTGGGGCGCCTGGGTGGCTCAGTCGTTAAGCGTCTGCCTTCGGCTCAGGTCATGATCCCAGGGTCCTGGGATCGAGCCCCGCATCGGGCTCCCTGCTCCGCGGGAAGCCTGCTTTTCCCTCTCCCACTCCCCCTGCTTGTGTTCCTGCTCTCGCTGTCTCTCTCTCTGTCAAATAAATAAATAAAATCTTTAAAAAAAAAAAAAAAAAGAAAGATACATAGTCAAGATAGAACTGAGAAAATTCTATGAAACAATGATGAAAGAGAAACCATCCTAAGACGTGGGAAGTCATTTCATAGAGGTAGGTGGAAAGCCACATGACCAATACACGTATGAAGAGATGCTCAACCTCATTGGTAGTCAGAGGGTTATAAATCAAGACTAAAATAAGGTACCATTTTATACCCATTTAGTTAGCAAAATTTAAGAAGTATGCCAGTTCCAAATGCTGGTTTGAGTGTGCATTGTTCTCTGATGCTAATGATTGAAAGACCATTTGTCATTATGTAGAAAAATTGGGGATATGTCAAATATCAGGATTGAACAATTCAGTCTTAATGATAACCCCTAGAGGAACTTACGTCCATGAGCCCCCTCAAGAGAAATGTACAAGTATGTTTATAGCAGCACCATTGGCATCCCAAGGGCCCATCAGGAGGCAACTGGATAAATAGTGGAATGTTCACAGCCTGAGCTAATATATAGCAGTGAAAATGAATGAACTAGAATTATATTCAATAATACAGATGATTCTTAAAATAAAGTTAAATGAAAAAAATCAAGTGTCAGAATATTCCATTCCACATGATACTCTTTTTTTTTTTTTTAAGAAAAAACATAAAAATAGCTAAAGCTAAGTAATTTTCTGCTTGGGAGATTGTTTATGTGTAAAACTTTTTATTTAAGGCAATGGAATGATAAATACAAAATTTAGGAGAATGATTACTTCATATGGATGGAAGGGGACAGGTGAATGGGAAAGAGAAGAAACAAATGTGTGATTGTGAGGTTTTTTTGTTTTTATTTTTTACTGTCCTTGTTCTTTTTTTTAAAAGATTTTATTTATTTATTTATTTGAGAGAGAGATCAAGAGAGCAGAGAGAGCATGAACGGGGGAGCACAAGTAGGGGGAGCAAGGGGAGGCGCAGAGAGAGAAGCAGACTCCCTGCTGAGTGGGAGCCCTTCCTGGGGCTTGATCCCAGGACCCTGAAGTCATGACCTGAGTGGAAGGCAGATGCTTAACCAACTGAGCCACCCAGGTGGTCTTGTCCTTTGATTAGGTGATGAATTCACAGATGGTAATTAATGATGACTAAACAACAAAATAAATAAAATCAAATAAAGAGAGCCACACAACACCAATGATGACATTGGCCTATGGTTATGCCTATGGTACATCTGGGTACCTGAAGTAACAAATTATTTTAAAAACCTATTTGGCTTAAAAATACAGTTATAGTTAGGATAATTTGATAATGTTTGATCTCTACAGATATTCTTTTCATAAGTTTGGCTGTAAAAGAAAGAGAAAATTGTTGATGATTGGAGGAGGATCTGATTTCAAGGGATGGAGTTTTGTTTGTTTTGTTTTAGTGAGAAGGATATGGGTCATGTTTGTAGGCTGACGGAAACAATCCAGAATACAGAAAGGGAGAGATTGATGGTAAATGAATGGAGCTGATAATCAAGGAGCAAAGGTCTTGGGAAAATAAGAAGGAATGAAATTCAGGACACAAGTGGAAGGAATGGCTTTTTGTCATTTCTCCATTTTAGCAGAAGGAAAAGAAAAGAAAATGGGAGCAAATATAAGTAGATTTGTTGTCCATTGTGGGAAGAGGAGAGAATTTGCTTTGATAGTTCTAGTAAGTTGGGTGATGAATAACACCTAGAGAAATTCATTATTGCTCAAGCAACTGGCAGATCTGAGAATGCACATGAAAGTCAAGTAAATGAAAGGATTCCTAGAGACAAAAAAATAGAAGTGTTTTAAATCTTAATGGTAAAATGGTTCTGTCAGTTATTTATATCCAATCAGATTCCAGTATGTTATTGAATTTTCTGAATAAATATAAATATTATGATTCATTTCAAAAAGTTTGTATGTTTCTTTCCATCATTGAAATCTCTGTCCTGGAGTCTGTACCTTAATTTGTCACTAGTCATCTTATGGTCTTGAAAGTCACTAAACTATAAGGTCACAAAATATACACTATTGCAAAACATTTTTTATGTTGTAAAAACTTATATTTAAGTTTTTTAATCAAAGATTTGGTAAATCTGTGAGAGTAATTTTAATTTTATACTTTAGATGTAAAATGTTTTAATTACATTTTAATTGCCATTCATATCGTTGACCATTGTTTGTTCTCGGTAGAGGCACAACTTGCTTTTCTGGGTTTTTGCATTATCATTAATTCTATGGTTTGGTGCCATGGTTCAGGTTCCAGACTCTGGAGCCAGACTCTGTATCACTTACTGGCTTTGTGACCTCGAGCAAGTTACTTGACTCCTCTGTGCTTAAATTTCCTAATCTGTAAAATTGAGATAGTAATGATAGTACATACCACATAGGGTTATTGGGGGGATTAAGTGAATTAATATATTTAAAGTGTCTAGAGCAATGTTTGACATGCAGAGATTATTATAAGTCTTAACTACTATACTTAACTATTGCTAAAGTTTACTCTGACTCTGCTCATATTACTTGCTTATTATATATTTAAGGGTGTATGAAATGATTCTGCAGGCCAGTAGGAACAGGAAACCATGAAGAAGAGGAAGGGTTAGGGCTCAGAAACCATACAGCACAGATAGAGGAGTGAGACTTGTTAGATTCCATAAATCTTGTGAACCAATTTCTTAAAATAAATCTCTATCTATCTTTGTGTATATGTCTTTATATAGCTTTGTATATTATTCTTTATATATACCAATATATTTGTGAATATGAAGAATCAATATATTTCTTATTGGTTCTGCTTCTCTGCAGAACCCTGAATAATACAAAAGCTCTGAATGTAAATTTAGCCAAGGCCAAAAATAAATTGTGACTGAAATATGCCTCTTAAAAAAAGTCCCAGTTAAGACATGGCAAATTTCAAAGCATCAGCCTCCTGGAAGTGTCCTTTACCAAATGAGAATATTAATATCCATCACACGAAGTTGTTGGGGGCTCAAATTAGATGACACATAGGGTGGTTGGGGAGATGGGTTACACAGGTGATGGAGATTAAGGAGTGCACTTGTGATGAGCACTGGGTGTTCTATGGAAGTGTTGAATCACTGTATCATACACCTGAAACTAATACTACACTGTATATTAACTAACTGGAATTTAAATAAAAACTTAAATAAAGCATTGGGTAAACTGCTAAATAAATTGTTATTAATTATAACTTTTATCTGAGGTAAGTTATGCATGGTGATGGCCTTAGAACAATGATCCCACCTAATCCCACTTTGCAATAATTGACAAGTGGAAGACCATTACCTCCCACAAACATACTACAAATATGTACACACACTATGTACACGCTCACCACACAGACACTGACATACATACCTGTTTTGGGGAAAAATAGTGAAGCTGACTGTTGAACTGTTAAACATTTTTATTGTGCAGGCTTTTAACCTTTACAGGACATGCAAGATAAAAAAGTGTAAAATATATCAGTAAGCATATAAAATTTCAGCAATCTTTTGGACCAGCAATTGATTTGCATGACGGACTAGAACAGACATGTCTTGGGATACACAGTTTACAGATTGAATCACAAAGCAATTCCCCAAGTGATTTTCCTCATATAAAGATAAAAATATCTTTACACTTAAAAAGTATGCAATATACTACATTTTCAGTTATGTACACAGTTTAAAAGTAAAACTATGTCCATGCCAGTGTCTGTTTTAAAATGCAAAACTTAAACGTAGGTAACAGGTTGATAATTAAAGTGTCAGGAAAACTAGAAGAGATGAAAAATAAAATCAAGCAGAGTTCCAAATAGGTATATGAAAATAAAAATAAAAGCATATAACTGAAGGTTAAAAATAATGTCCCCAAGGTCAGCCTCTTAATATGAGCAGGAGGAATAAAAAGCTTTTAAATGTACCAGTCAGCTTTCTGTATGACTCAGGTTTACAGGTGAAATTCCTCAGTTTGAGTTCAGAAGAATTTGAATTTATTCCAGCAAAATTACCTCAATCTTTCATTACTGCCTCCTTCCCCATCTTCTTTCTGAGCAAAGTGATGCTTGGATTAGGTCCAAAGCTCCTGGCAGGGGGAGGGGCTGTGTGTCACAGCATAACAGACGGTTACAAGTGCTTTACTTTGAAGGGGGTCACATTTGCAACAATTCTGACAGTCTCACACAATGGCCTCCATTTTACGAGCCCTTCCCCAGAGGCCCACTGATCAGCTGAAAAGGGAACACAATGTTCAGCCACTAAACCACCCCAGTGATGGATTAGTTTGGAGTCAGGAAAGCGTGATTATTCTTGAAAATAAACGAAGTTGAATAGACATGCTGACCTCATTCAGTTGATGAGAGGCAGGGAAAGTTGGCTTCCACTCCTGCCAGCCCAGAGAGGGCTCAGTCCCATTCATTCACCTTAATTCGTTTCATGGGGTTGATGTAGACCATACTTGATATGGATAAAGATGCTGCGTGATCAAATGCAGACATGAACTTTATCCAGCTCTGTTTCTGAGAGTCAGAAACAAGTGTGGAGAATGGATTTTCTAATTTTGGTCTTCAGGAAGGCTGCTGACCTAATGAAAGTTAATGAGTTGGACCCTATTTGAAAAGGAAAATGTGAAGAACAGGAAGGCACTTAGGTCTCATTATCTATATAACAAATATTCAGGCACAGAAAGAATCACAGGTTAAAATTCAAGAAGTGTAAGGCATTAGTTGGAACATGTGACTGCAGATTATGTTTTCTAACTTGATAAAGATCACTAGATCCAATTGGATCATTAAAGTGAATAGCAACAATCTACTAACACTTCAGATGGTGGGGGAAGAGTTTGCTTAAAACCTGCCCACATACCTGTATACTTAATGGCCATAGCCAGGAATTCTTCCCTTACCATAAAATGATCAACATTTTAGAATAGGCACTTGAGGTTGTTTGTTCTTTTTTTTTCCTCCTCAGTTCTTCATATTTCTCTCAAATTACCTCTCAACAATAGGTCCATATCTCAGTCAATAAAACAATGGTCCACATGCAAATAAGAATGTAAGGAAAAATTTTTAAATGGGTTTGAAAAATCGAGACCACCAAAAAAAAAATAGATGAAATAGCTCAGAAGAGACAAATAATAGTTATGAAAACTGAGTGATTTCTTTGTTCTGAACCAAGAAAATTCATTCATATACTGTTGCTGTACCAGCAACCTGAAACTTGAAATTGGCACCAAGAAAATTAAAAGGAAAAAAAAAGAATCAGGTATACTTCTATCCTTAAAATGTCATTTATATTTCTTTCTGCATGTTGATGCGAATATTGCTGAATATTTTGCCAACAGCCTCAAAGAACGGGTCACAGAAGGTGTGGACGTAGATGGAATACACACGGCTGATGCACTGAATCTCAATCAGGAAACTCTTAATGCACGGTACAACTGCCCAGATGTGCAGGAAAGAAAGAATGGCAAAGTAAATGCCCCAGATGAGGGCCATTGGGATGCCAAAGAGGGCAGACAGCAAGCGGTAAAACCAGTATTTTGTCACAGTGAAGGTGGTGAAGCTGGCCTTCCAGATGCCATCAAAACTGTGTGTTCCTTCTGGTTCTGCAATCACATCTTCAAAATCAATCTAAAAGGAAGAAGTGAGAATATGAACTTACAATAGAAGAAAAGAGGAAAAAACACTACTGAGTATCCATAAATACATATTATCTTTAATGTACAGGTTCTATGTGAGATGCTTGAAGGTACCCAGCAGCATCAGCATTACTCTGAACTTGTTGGAAACAGGTATTTGGGCCCCACCTGGGCCTTATTGCATCTCTGGGGGTGGAATCCAGGAGAATTTCTAACATGTTCTCCAGATGTTTCTTTAAACTTCCTGCCTTTAAGTAAAACCTGGCAATATGGATAAGTATACAAGGTGCTCAGTGAAATGTAAATGACGTGACCTAAGCTAATTGTACTCCAACACAACTACACATACAGTGTTGAGTGGTAGTTAGTGCATAATTGATTGCTGACTCTTTGAACACTCCATGGGTAGAATTTCTTCAGCAAATTAGATCACTGTGAGCTGTGAGGACTCAAGAAGTCTCCATGGGGTGGTGAGACTTGGGCAGGGCTTGGAAAATGGAGTATGATTTGGAGAAGAAGGAAGGAGGGACCTTGGAAATGGTGTGAGCAAGATCCCAGGAACAAGGAAGGGTGGTACAATGAGTGTCACCGGCAGATAGACCTGTGTGGGCACAGTTAGAAAGAAAAGTTGAGGCCAGTCTCAATTTTATTTTACATACAGTGGAGGGTCTATTGAAGATAGTGGAGTGGGGGAATGCAATGTGGTTATTTATCAAGGTGAATTTGACAACAGTGTACAGGCTGGAGAAAAGAGACTCAAGGCAAAGAGACTGTTGTTGTATCCCAGGTTTGAGATGGTAGGGCCCAAACTAGAATTGTGGCCAGGAAAAAGAAAATAAAAGAATGAATTTCAGGGATCTTAAAGGAAGACCCCACAGGATTTGGTTACTTCAAGTTTAGGGAGAGAGAAAAGCCTAAGATGAGCTTTGAGCTTTGAGATTCTGATTTGCCAGCTAAGGAAAGCCAAGGTGACATTAACAGCAAGAAGAAAGAAAGGAAGGCAGTTAAAAACATGTTAAGGTACAGCTTCACCTTTGAATTAAACAGAGTAAAGTTTTGAATAAAGACAGATGCAAATATCAGTGGTCCACACCAGTGAATCCTATAGTAGTCGTTTTTGCTGGCCACAAGGAAGTAATCAAATGAGTTTACAGTACATAGCACTTAACAGTAACCAAGTGCTTCTACATGCATCATCTCTATGTGATCTGGGGTTTCATACCAATCTGAGAAGGTGGGTTGTTATCCTTTACAAAAGAAGATATAGAAGTTCAGAGAGGTGAAGGTGACTCGCTAACGTGAAGCAAACAGCAATGGTGGGACCAGAATGCAAACTTGATACCTTTCCCAATAGCATTCTCTCCCACAGTACCTGTCACCTAAACAGTGAATTCCCAGGAGCTTTTATCTCACTGGAAGGATTTATATAAACTCAACTGAAGCATAGGATTAAAAAAATTACCAATAGAACAGTAGGACAGAGCCAGCTCAACTGCTTGGCAAAGGCAGCTATATGAAGGGATCTAATGTAGTTTGAAATCCAAACAAGTTGATGACTGCCAGCATCATCAGGAATCCAGGCAAGCTCAGGATTAGGGAATGAGGTCTTGGGTGACTCCATGGAGCTTCTCAGTGCCAAGATGTCACCTTTGATTCAACACAATAAAACTTTTTTGGGAAAAAGTACATGATGCTCACCAATAATTAAAGTTTATTTTCTAGAACATTCTGTTTCATGATCTATTGTCCAATGCCTTAATAATGTAATATGTAAAAATGGTATGTCTGCAATTATGTACATGAAGTCAAACAGATTTATTGTCATTCCAATTTTTTTCTTTGCCTCTTTATATCTAGACTCAGAGGTAAACATTTAGTTGTGTGTTTTAAAAGGTTGCATGAAATATGTGGCAAGTCACATCAATCCTTTAATGACATTTCTGTGCACTTTACTTAATTGTCTACTGTGGGGTTTTGTTCTGACACTGTATTTTCCCAAAGCTATTAAGAATAAAAACCTGTGGTTTTTCTTCATCCAATTGCAAGATACCCAATAGTTTTATTTTTTTAAAAAAGATGACCTTATTTTGTAAAAAGATTTGGTGAAGTCAAAAGTAATACACTAGAACAGACAAAAGATGAGCGATTGTGGTCCATGAATGCCCTGAAATGGGAACATACATTTGAGTGTACAATGGGAGAGGGTACCTCACTTTTATTAAAAAGTAAAGATAGTCTACTATCAAAGGAGGGCAGGGAGCACTTTATCGGAGTAGGGTACTTCCACCTCTTTACAGAGCAGAACTTGAAGCATGCCTGCCTTGAGATTCTTTTCCTAGGGAAGGGATAGTTACTAACATTTGTTGACTTGCTATTATGATCAGACACTTCTCATTTAACTCACATCAACTCTTAATATATTATTCCTACTTTATAGGAAAAATGCAAGGTTCAGAAATGTTAATATATTTTCTAGATAGATAAGAGGTGGATTTGAGTTTTGAATCTGGTCTGAAAGATACTGACTCTTTCTTCAATACCACATTGCTTTAGAAAAATATTTTTCAAATTTTCTCCAAGGCAGTTTTACTATTTCATAGTTAAAAAGCACATTAGCAAAAAAGAGTTTGCTGAATTTTACTTTTCTGGTAACTGTAAGAATTCTCAAAACATGGTCTCTGAGGACGATGTTGTGATGAGGTTATGTACATCATATATATAATTGGTCCTTAGTGAAGATCTATGGAGATATGAATGTGGGTAAGATTTCTTGATAACTTTATTTTTCTAAGCATAACTATAAATGCATTTTTCGACAAACATATTGGAAATTCTTAACTGCCAGTGAGCATGATTTATCTTCAAGTGAATTTAGAGCAGGTCTCCAGGGGTGGACAGCAATATGAGAAAAATAACATGTTATATAAATATATTCAGTTAGGTAGTTGCTGTTTTAGTCCTGAAAACTTAAGATAGCTAAAGATTACTAAAAGTATAGCCAATTAGATACAGCTGAGAAAAAAAAGTAAGGCAGGTTAAGGAAACACATTGGAACCAGAAATAAAGCTTACTTTCTTTCTACTTCCATTTCTGCAACAGTAATAGTAATAGGTTTTTGTGAGGAGTACATGAGATAATTTATGTAAAGTGCTTACCATGGGTATAGAGCATTACAATATAGTAAATGCTCAATAAATAGTAGCATTAAAAAATTCCTTGCTGTGGGTGATTAAGCTTTTTAATTGACAGTTATAATAAAAGCTATCAACCACAAAGCACCAGTGGCTCAAAAGAGCTAATTTCGATCTGTAACGATCTTCACCACAATTCTCTGAGATACATGGCCTTTATTTCCATTTTATAGATGAGGGTGGTGTAGGTGGTTAAAAAATTGCTCAAGGTCACAGAAATGTTAAGTGGCAAAGCTGAAACTTGTTCAACTTCAAGTGTGAGCTCTTTTTGCTTTTATATACCTGGGGTTACAAGCCCCTATAATAGTCTTACTTGCTTAATTTTGACCCACATAGATATGCTTCCTAAAACATTCGCATTTTGATTATTAAAGGAATTACTGTTGATTGTGTTTCCATTTTAAGTTAGGACATCTAGTAACTAGAATGTTTTGCATTTTTGGTACTGATTGTATTTTCTTGGCCCGGCACAGTATGTTCTCACAATCCTGGGCACCCAGCCAAGAACTTTCACTCTAATTGGCAGATAAGGAAACTGAGGCACAGAAGGATTAAAATGGGCCAGACATTCTCAAGGTCCCAAGTAAATCAGTGGAAAAGCTGAAATTAGAACTTTAACTTCCTGATCCCCAGGCCTAGGTTTAGCCCTGTGCTCAACACTATATCCCTAGGAACTTACATCTTTCTCACCATATCCCTTGTCCATCTACCCCATTCATATCTCCAGGTCTCCTGTAAGTCTCTCATTACCTTCTAAGGCATTGACTTGAAAGCTATTTCTATGTGAAGTTAGAAGAAATGTCCTTTTTACAGCATGAACATGAACATTTCTATATATCTACCTAGGGTGAAGAAAACAGGAAGGAATATTCTAAAAAATATCTTCATTGCACATTTTGATATGTATTGATAATGCACTGAACCCAGGAAAGTTCTGCTAGATAATCAGTCATTCCATATAAAGTTAGTTCAAAATTCTCCATCACCCAAAGCACAGTTTCCTCAGCATTTCCATAGATGTTTAAAGCTAAAGGAATCCTTAAAGAAATGGAGTCCATTTAAGAAATTGATGGCCAAAGCTGTCAGATGACTAGATCAAGGATACCTTCCCACCTATGGCAGACACAGGATTGGAATTCAGGCTTAGGAACTCTCCTGGGCTCTTCTGCGACTGTCTGCTACACATCCCCTGTCAGTCTAGCTGCTACATTCTGTAGCCAGTACAAAAGACAACGAGGCTTGTGTTGGAACTTGAACATCATCTTCCTCTCAAGAAGTCCCATGGGTCTATTATTGAATGAGTGATGGTGCCTCTCTTTGACACTCCCCAATGTGTTCATTGTTCACATCCATCATTGGTTGATTTATCCCTCATTAGAACTATCACTCTGGAGTCCCATTTCTTCAGGGACTTATTCCTCTTACTCCTTAATGAGGATAGGTCTTGCCTAGATTGGAACTTCATCTGCTCACTTAGATTTGGAGCAGAAGAGGAATTAGAGATTTGCTCTAAGACAAAAACAAAAACCGAGAGATGCAGGTGCCATTTATATTCTTAAAATGGGATGCCTCGGTGAGGTTGTCCTGCTTTGCCAAGAACTGATTTTCTGTTCTGTAATCTATGGAACAAGTTGCCCTTCTGGCAAGAATCATTATGCAGACCTCAAGGTCAAAAGCATAAATGTGTTTCAGTGATATTTCTATGTCTTAATAGATGCTTTATAAGGAATCAACAGTTTATATTACTAGATTTTTATAAATGACATTAAATTCCTTTGTGCAGCATTGACTTATGCTATAA